AATGTGTTGAAATCAGTAACACATTCCTAGTTACAGGGAAGGACAACTAATGTGTTCAAATCTGTAACATTCCTAGTTACAGGGAATGACAACTAATGTGTTAAAATCAGTAACACATTCCTAGTTACAGGGAACGACAACTAATGTGTTAAAATCTGTAACATTCCTAGTTACAGGGAACGACAACTAATCTTTTATTTTTCCTTTCTCCATAAGCACTCAGCTGTAAAGATTTTTATGTTCTCTGTATATTATGTTAAGCTGTGTGTCTGATACAGTGATCAGACATCTAGGTACCTTTTTGTATTGCACAGATCTATATTTTATCCAATAAAAGTACAGTCTACAAGTTTGACCCCCCCCCCCAATGAACTTGTATAAAAGTACAGTCTACGAGTTTGAAACCCCCCAATGAATTTGTATAAAAACACAGATGATGGGCATTATACTTCAGTGTGTTGTTTGGTGTTTTATTTAAAACGTGTTACACTCGCTACAGGTTCTAACAGTAGCACCAGTCTCTTCTCATACCACTTCAGTGTGTTGTTTGGTGTTTTATTTAAACGTGTTACACTCGCTACAGGTTCTAACAGTAGCACCAGTCCGTGTTACACTCACTACAGGTTCTAACAGTAGCACCAGTCCGTGTTATACTCGCTATAGGTTCTAACAGTAGCACCAGTCCGTGTTACACTCGCTACAGGTTCTAACATACACTTTGTCACATGAATTTCCACTCCAACAATATTAATTTTTCTCTTCTTAATTGAGGCTCATCATCTTTTACTTTAGGTCTTTGATGTCAAAAGACAATTTGTTAATATGTTCATTCTGAGACAAAAATCCTCATTCGTGTGTTAACCCCCGCCCCCCGAATTAATATGTAATTGTTTTCGAAATTTCAATTTGGATACAGAGAGTAGCTCAAGTAAGAACTCAACTTTACTTTTCTTGGGTGCACAAGGAACGTAAATTCACTTTTAAAATGCTCGGTGCTTGAACGTGCAGTTTTAGGCATTTGAATTTTAATTAGGTTATTGGGTTTCGTTTTGTTTTACATTATGGATTTATTTTTAGTGTAGCCTTTATTGGTGTAATACTTGTATTTCTACATTTTCTTCGAGACGAACTGGATTGGAGATAGGAGAAAAACACAACACATACTCCATAACTCTCTATTCTCTGAACCCTCAGTTGGCGGGCCCTAACTGAAATCCGTGTGCCGGATGTAAATTAAAACTGAAGCAAATGCTAGCTTCTGTAAGTAGGATAGGTGAAAACAAAATTAATCTGCTTTGAAATTAAATAGATTGAATACTGGAATCCCTCGGAGGACCAGCGGTAACCTTAAATATTTACAGTGTTAAAATCTAGGGTTCGATTCCCCGCGATGGACAGAGCACAATCAGCCCAGTGTGTGTAGTAACTTCACACTTAAATGACCAACCAAACAACAATTAATACTGGATAAACGTAGGTTTAGATTAACACTGTGGTAACCTGACTTCTATAATGCACCTGCAGTCTGGAACGGAGAGTAAAAGAAATCTGTATACAACACGTAACAATAAAACGTACTTCGTTTAATAATTGTTGGAGACGGCTTGAATGTGTAATGAAGAAAAACTTTATAAGTTTAACATAACAGCAAATGTACAACGTTTCGACAACGTTTTGTCATCATCAGGTACGTTTAAGTCGAAATTTGAACTTTCGGAATAGGAAAGACGTATCCTCACACAATTCAGATACTTTTCTACAGCTTGGAAGCCAATAGAAAGCAGAATACCAGGAATTTGACTTTATCTTCCGTTATATGATAATCGTAAAGTAACTGTACATCGTGATGGTGTTGTTACGCTTCCAGTCGTTAGTTAATTTTCCGTAAATTCGTTCCGACGAAACTTTAGCGACACAAGTCCTTTCTTAAATAAAACTGGTTTATTCTTTCCGAATACAACTTTACGATACACTTAATTTCAACAGTCGATCTGTAACAAACACTATAATTCACGTCTCACGTGGCCAACAATATTTTGTCCGCATACATTCAATTACTCATTACCTTGTTGTCCCGTCACGTTGTGAGCGTCTTATATATACAAGACTAACACATATCTAGTAAATGCTAGGGCATTCTTGAAGGAACAGGATATTTCTAGAAAGAGGTGGTGTGATACTAGTCACGTGACCTCGCTGACGCAACAGTGTTTTAGCCACTAATGTAACCAGTATTTACAAATTATACTTTTGGCCAACATATGGCGCAACATTGGCTAAACAATACTCGAAAGTTCGGAATGATTAAACTTTTATAATAAAAAATGTTCAAACTCAGATAATTTCTCAAGATAAGTTTGAATAATTGCATGATCATTTTGGCCAACAGAGGCCACCACAGACTTGGAACCAACAAAAGACCTAGAGAGTCTGTTTATTAACAAATCTTGAAAAAAAGTAGACTTCTTTAGTGGTATTCCATTCGAGTAATATCCGACACAAGTTCTAAAGTGTCGGTAATATCGGAAATGTTACGCAGAGATTAAACTGAACACGGAAAACAAAGTATAAAAACAGTCGCAATTAAAAAATAAAAGAAAATCATTACTCACAGTGAAAAATGGTCGTTAAGTATTTCACCTACTCTAATTCTGTTATGATTTTTAATTGTCTACTGGGATTGAGAGTATACTTTTCACACACGTCCATACGCGACAAGTACGAAAAGAATTCCGCTGGAATTCAGAATCCAACATTGCACAAGTTACCCTCTATTCCAAATAACATTCATGGAAGAATAAAACCCCTAATTCATATCAATTTTTATACTCCTTGAGATGGGCTCGCCTCTCCTCAGAGGAGTCAAACACAGATTCAAGCGATACGAGTTTCCAGTCGTTGTCGAATGCAACTTTATTTACGTGAGTGTAATGATTAGTTAATATTGTTACGCCTCTGTGTTCGTTTGTTAATTTCTCGGTATAAATTCTCCCCGAGGATCTTCAGAGATACAAGTCCTTTCTTAAATAAAACTAGTTTATTCTTTCTCAGTTCAACTTTGCAATACACTTAATTTCCACAGTCACTTTAAACACACGCTATAATTCACAATGATTCACGCACTTATTTACGGTCACTACCACGCTTGACTCAATTGTCCGTCTTTATTTCTATCTGTCTGCAATTCAATTCCGATTAATTCGTCTCACATTATCCAGCGCACTTATACACAGGAATAGAGGGCGCCTAGCACATACTGGATTATTCATGATGTTCCCCGATCCTTCTAGAATATCATGACGTGTTACTAGAGTCACGTGACTACCGCTGTCGTAACAATATTTACGACCTTTCGACACTTGGCCTTCCAAAATGTCCTACTATATGTGTGTGTGGGGATTTATTTGACCAAGGGAAGGGAGGGAACGTGCGCCACAGACGGCTGAGATCCAGGGCTCGCCTTAGGGCCCTGGAAGTTCTTGGATTAACTTTTATTCTCATATTAAAGTTTTTCTTCATTACTCATTCAAGCCGTCTCCAACCATTATTAACTTTTATTATATTCCAGAGAGTAATTTTTTCTCATTTTACTTGGACAGATTGAAAAGAAATGGAGGCGTACCTCCCCCCCCCGCTTCCTATGCCCCTGGACGGGTAATACTTTAACAGTTAAAACCAGTAGTTAGTGACATCAATGAGCTACCTGTTTGGTACCCATAACGAGAATCGACCCACGGATTTTTACGAAATAAACCTTCAAGCATACCGCTGGGCGGCAAGTGAGGCGAAATCTTTAGTTCAGATTATTACTTGTTTTCCACGCCTGTGATGCTTATAACACCACCTAGTGGACATTCGTTCTACCAAGTATTTTCTATTATTTTTTTCATACTTATAAAAAACAACATAATTTTTACATGAAAGTCCGTTGAAATTATTCGATAAAGTTTTATACACACTACGTTATTAACGCGTTAATTAAACAGAATCATCTAGCTAAGAGATGTATTTCGTATTTGCTACACTCTGTCGCCATTGTATTGTAACAAACGGCTCTCGGTCTTACCTCATTTTCAGAAGACGTTCCTACTACGCATGTCATAAGATAGCATCAACAGAGCACGAGGAGAGCAGTATGTTTACGTCACTATTATAGAGAGCCAAGAGTTAATCCCTCGTTTTTCTTGTCGTCTGCCATCTTTGCTACGTTCGATTGTAAAAAGGGAGAGTTCACTGGACTTTCTAGGTTTATTCACTTCACGTGACGCCCTCTTGAGCGTGGCGTGTTGTAAGAGTGAAGAATAATAGAAGGTTTTAAAACTGGCAAGACGAACCTACCCTAGGGGAGTTAGGTAAAATGTAAGTTTTATAGTCTGAACGCAGAATTTAAAAGATAGGACAAAGTTGTCATGAGAAGTACACGTCAGAGATACGCTCAGGATATGCGTGCTAGATTTATTGCAGTGTTAACACTTCTTTCAGTTTCAGGTAAGTCCTGATTTAATAACGGATCTGTTACTAAGGCTAATGTAACACGTCTTCCACATACGCTGTAGTTCGCGTATTATACGAACGAGAGATAGGATTTCCTTTAAATTTAATACTTTCAACCTGTAATACTACAACTTATTGTGTATAAGACATAATTAGTCGTACCTATTTTAAAATAGTCTGTTGTGAAAGCTCTTGTAATACTAATTACATGGGTATCGTTTCTGTACGTGGTACTTGTTAAGTTGTTTTTCAAATTGTGTACATGTAAATACACGTGTTAGGACGAGAACTCGATGAAAAACTGGTTTGGTTAAAATAAATTACTTGGTTAAAGTCTATGTGCTCGTCACAATTATATATCTGTAAATCCCTCTTTTATTAATTACTATTTTGCACCTAAAGTAAATATGAATCCTTCAATTTAATTTAAGCACCGTATAATACCGTATCGAACTAAAAATATAAATAACTTGAAATTGCATTGGCGACGAAAATATCAAAATTAAATTATAGGTTGATCAATCGCCAAGTTTTTATATTTAAAGAAGGATGGCGTTTCGAGCTAGCGCTCTTCGTCAGATCGTACAGTTTACAGTTGTATTATTTAATTTTAATACCGTATCGAACTGACAATATGGAGGACTGAACAAACAATCACAATCTTCCAAAGCGTATTTAGTTGTGCCAGCGTAAATAAAACTAAAAGTATGAAGAATTTATCCAGGGCACAGTGATTTTTCAGTACGGTGTTTGCCTCGTCAGGATGGATTCACTATCCTCTGGGAAACGGGACCGCGTGTCTTTAATTATGTTATGGCTGTGTTAAAATATTGGTGTCGCTGCTAACTTTGAACTTGTGGCTAGACCAGTGTATTATTCCACACACGTCTTCGCAATGAAGTCTCCCTGGATTTATCAGAATAATTGAATATTTATTATTTTAAATTATGGGGCTGGCATAGGTTGCACTTCAAAGTTGATTACAAAAGTCGCTTTTAAGTTTTATCCCTGTTTTTTTTTTAGTAAATAC